CCCATACCCCCAGCTCACCCCGCTTGGCTGGGCAGCCCCAGGGCAGGTAAACTGAGGCACAGAGCGGCTACAGACGGTTGTGCTGCCCTGTCACGGCTCGGTGAGGGCACCGAAGAAGCCCCCCTCACTGCTGTGCCCCCTCCCATCCCCCCCTGGCCGGCATTAGTGTCCGCACGGTGACATCATGCTCTGCCGGGGAGGCCCCTCGCCTGGGCTGGGACAGCCCCTATTCTCATGCTAATTGTCCCCCCAGTCCCTGGCAGGCGGCCTTTGTGTGGGGCCATCTGGAAGGGGCACTGGGCTACCCCGGCGAGACCTCCCTTGTGCCCGAGCCCMCTCTGTGCCCGAGCCCACCCCGGTGTCAGGACCCTCCCGTGCCCTCCGCGGTGCCCAGGTGGGTCCCAGCACCGGGGAAGCGACCCCTCCCCAACCCCAGCGCCACCGGGAACCCCACCTGTAGGTCGCCACTTCCAGGCTGAGGGACATCTTGAGGTGCATGAGCTGCTGCCTGTCCTCCAGTACCCGGGCGATCTGCACCCGCAGGCTCTGCTGCTCCTGCTCCAGGGCTTCCATGGCGAGCTGCGGGCAGCACAGCGGGGTCAGGGGCACCGCAGCGAGGACAGGGGCACAGCAGCGGGGACAGGGGCAGCACAGCGGGGTCAGGGGCAGCACAGCGGGGTCAGGGGCACCGCAGCGGGGTCAGGGGCACCGCAGCGGGGTCAGGGGCACCGCAGCCCCGCCTGAGCCCTGTCGAACCCTGGGCACCACCGGGCAGGTGGCTCGGTGCATCCCCGCGGGATGCTGCAGGGACGGGAGTCCTGAGTGCTCGATTTTAGGGCGGGGCGGGCTGAGGATGGGGCAAAGGGATGAGCAGGGATGAGAAACAGCGGGGAAACGGCTGCGGGAAAATTCAGGATTGCGGGACGCCGGCGTGGAAAAGAAACAACTTTGGGGCGAGSAGCCCGAGCCGCGGCAYCCTCTGCCCCAGGACACGCRTGGYCGGTCCCAGGACCYGGGACAAAGARGGACCCTTYYCYGGGCAGTGTCCACGCCGCTCCCGGWATTTCCAGCCCACCCCGCCTCCACCTCCCTCGGCTGAATCGCTTTCGCAGCTGTCGGGTCGCAGCTGCAGCAAAGTCGGTCGGAGTTTATCCTGCCGACACCCCCGCAGTGCCGGCACCCCGCAGGGGCTGTCCTGGTCCSGGGATCCTGACTCTGGAGCCCGACTTGGAGCGGAAATTTCGGGCAGGGGGCTGGGGGAGGACCCGGGTGTCTGTTGTGATGGGGACAGGGATGTCCCCAAGCTGCTTTCCTCTCCCTCCCGCCCTCTCCATCTTCATCCATGGCCACCATCCATCCCTTCCCTGGGGTTTGCTCCCTCCTCTCACCCATCTCTCTCATCCTTTTGCGCCCTGAGCACCCACCCAGCTACCCCAAGCCCCTTTCTCTCCCCTCCCCAAGGACCCCAAGCCCTCCTTCACTCACCTGGAACTTTTCTGCCTCCCCGCGCTGCTCCTGCCACTGCTGGGCCAGGCTCTCCTCCAGCATCTCCTTGCGYGCTTTGAGCCCCGCCAGGTCCTTCTCCAGGTGCTGCAGCTGCAGCTGGCTCTGCTGGTTGTCCTCCACCGCCTTCCAGAGGTTCTCCTTGGCCTGGCAGAGGGATCCTTCCAGCTGTGCCACCTCTGTCTTGTAGGTCTCCACCGCCCCTTTCCAGATCTCCGAGAGCCTCTTGGAGTAATCCTCCACCTCCACAGGCTGGAAAGCCACGGGTGCACAGCGGAARCTCTCCAGGCTGTGGGAGAAACTCGCGATCTCCTGGTCCAGCCCCGCTTTCTCCTCCTCGTGCACCTCCAGCAAGGCTTCCACCTCCTTCTCCAGCTGCACAGCTCTCTCCTTCAGCCAGATCTGCGCTCTCCTCTCCTCCTCCAGCTCCTTCCTGCTCAAGTTCAGCTGCTTCTTAGCTTCTTCTCGGGCCGCCTTCTCCTTCTGGCACCTGCTTTTCACCTGCTSGACCTCCTCGTAGAGGTTGTCCCTGGCCAGCTCGGCCGTGCATTTCTCCCTGAAGGCGTGATCCAGTGCATCCCGCAGGGCTCTCAGCTCCTCCTCGTACTTCACCCGCCACGAGTCCCCGGCGGGGCTGCTCTTGGCGCTCTGGATTTCAGCTCGCAGCACCTCGTTCTCCTCCTCCAGGAACTTCACGCGGGCCAGGTACGCCTCCAGCCGCTTGTTGAGGTCCCACATCTGCAGMGATTCCTCTCCCAGGGCTCTCGGCCCCGCGAAACTTTCCGTGCTCAGCATCGGGGATGCCGGGGGATGCCGGAGCTGCCGGAGGAAGACGCCGGGGGAGGAGGGGACAACGCCGAGGCAGAGTGGGAAGGCAGAGAGGGAAGCGAGTGCCTGGGAGCAGGGGGGAGCGCAGCTATTCATACTCTGCGATGGCGAGTGGGAGGCCCCCGAGACCCAGACGAGCAGCCGGGTTTAACCCTTCCGCAGCCGGGCCGATTCCAGCCCACGTGGGCTCGACGCTGAGCTCTGATTTCCCTGCCCTGGCGATGAGCAAGGTGCTCCTTCCCACTTTGGGAGGGTGACTCGAGGGCTCGGATCCTCCCTCCCCCGGCGTGGCTGGGCTGGGAATGCCCTCCCCAAAGCCCGAGGGCCATGCCAGGGAGCTGGAGGGYTGCCGTGGGGCTCGGCGTGGAGCTTGGCCCATGTCCAAGGGCAGTTGGCAGATGCCCACGCTGAGGGCTTGGCTGCAGCATCCCTCGGTGGTGCTGCTCCAAAATCGGGGGGCTCGGGAGCCCCAGAGGAGCCCAGCGAGGGTCTCACAGCCCTGGGGAGGTGATGGCTGCACCGGGGGCTGTTTCGGGCTCAGCACAAGGCAGGTCCGGTGCCCTGATCCATCCCCACGGGATCCCTCTGCAGAGGGAGAGCTGCCCCGGGGAGCGAGGCGTGATCATCCCAACCAACCCCTCCTTCGGGGAGATGCATCCAGCTGTGTCCAGCTGCAATTTTCCCTCTTTCCAGATGTTCCCGGTGCCGAGCTGAGCCGGGAGCCCAACGGGAGCCGCTGCTCCGGCAGCCTCCGAAACTTGGCAGGCGCCGGCTCCGCGTTTGGTTTCCGTCAGAGCTTTCACCCGTGCGGTCAAGCCGGCACGGCCGAGACGGGAATCGCTTCGCGGGGAGCATTTGGGGATTAGGGGTTTTTAATTTTCTCTTTTTATTTACCCCAGCTGACTTATCTGGGGGAAGGGCAGCGCGCTGGCAAAGGGGCGGAGATTTAAAAATTCAAACTCGGGAGGTTTCTGAGAACAAAAGGAAAATGTCACTCGGGAAGAGAGTTATCGCCAGCGTTTTCTCCCCRTCCTCCCCCTCCTAAAAGACTTTTTTTTTTTTCCCCACGGGAGGGTCCCTGCTATGTCCTCACCAGGGTGAGGAGGACAAGAATGTCTCCTCCCGAGCTGTCCCACGGGACCGGCTCCAGGCTTCTGGAAAGACAAGCAACAGTCCCCTCTGCTGGCAAAGGCCACCCAGAGCCATCCCTGAGCTCTTCCAGCGTCACAGCACCCGGGAGCTGGYGGGGGTCTCACACAGCAACAGCCGGGGGTCTCAGCACCCCCTCGGACAGACGGGGTTTGGATGATGGGGAGGGGGGAAGACCCCGCTCGGGGGTCCCCAAAGGCATCGTCTTTCCGGCTCATCTCCGGCCAGACATCCTGTCTGGCTCCTTGGCCCGGCTCTGGTTTGCCTCTCACAGCCAAGACTGAAATGCCATWAAGGAGCGCGGCGAGTGTTGAGGTTGGATAATTGATCCGGGCTCCCCAGAGCTCTGGACAGTGGGGTGATGAAACCCTGCTGCGTGTTTTTATCCTTCTCCTCCTCATTTTCAGAGCACGGCTGCTCCAGAGCTGGCTTTCCCTGCTGCCTGGCTGCTCACATTTTCCTCCTTCCTCCTCCTGTTGGGTGCCCYTGGGGTGTCCAGAGCCCAGGAAGTGCCCTGTGTGTGTGTGTGCCCTTCCTCCCCGGCCTTGTTCCCCTCTTCCTCCTCCTCACGTCTCTGTTTTGGGGTTCCCAGTTGTGCCTGGTCCCTTCTCTCTCAGCCAACAGCAGAGCTCAACTCAAATCCTGCAGCCCAGGGGAGGACTCGGGGTCCCCAGGGGAATTGAGGGGTCCAATCCTGTCTGGGGGGAGATCTGGGGGGCACCCTGGGGTGTGCATGTCTGTGCATCTCTTCYTTGGGTGTGCTTGGGGTTGTGAGTGACTTGGGATGGGACCATCTGTGTTCCTGGGGGATTGGGGTCAGGAGACTCTCAGAAGRGGGATGTCCATTTCGCTGAGGGGTYTTCATGGTCAGAAATCTCTCAGGAGGGGGATGTCCATGTCCCTGGGGAGTGTTTGGGGTCAGGACCCYCTAGGATGGGGGTGTGTGTGTCATGGGGTGACACTCAGGGTCAGGAACC